CTGGAAGCCACACCCACCTGGGGGTGTGGTTTTGGCAATTTCGAACCTATTTTTAAGTTCCCCTAATGTTTCTGCTTAAAATGATATGTCGCACGGCATGTTTTCTCGAAAAGATAGCAAAAGCGCTGATGGCCACACCCCCTGTGGTTGGGGATTCAAAATTTGAATCTGCTAATATAACCATTGTCGAGGGGTGTGACTCTGATTGGATAATGATATTTCTAACTCTCTCAGGTGTTAAAACTCAGCAATTTAAACCTGATTCCATTTTTCCACACCCCCTGCCGCACCCACAATTTTTTAAATGACCTTTGGGTCAAATTTTTCCACTCCTCAAAGTTGTTTGATGTAAAAATTTTGAATCAAATTCGCGAAGAAGTGTTTTTAAGAACGATGCAACATTTTCATTTTTTGACCTTGTGACCTTGATTTCAGGTTACCTAGGTCAAATTTGAAAAATTTGAAATTATATATTGTAGCAAAAGGTCAACTGTTTCCAAAACATATTTTATTTTGAAAATCGGTGGGGAATTGCAAAAATGGCTCAAAATCAAAGTTTCAATGCTTATAAGCATTGCGGCATGCGCCACATAACCTCGAACCAAGAAAATGCTGCGGTTTTGTTAGATTAACCATAGGTGAGCTCGTTCGTTAAAAGATTTTTCCGATGTCAAAATCTCGTCATCTTTTAAAAAATCCTCTCCACTTTTTTGGTGCGTACCGCTTGCGTACAGCTCTTCATTTCTTTAATCTGGCTTTCCTGTTGGGGATCGTCAGGAGATGCTAAGTACTACGTTTCAAAGCCCTAAGTCTAAGGTTCAATTTGAGCACTCGTTAGACAATTTGCATCAACAATGTCAGCTGTTAAGATATTTTCAGTTGAAATTTCGTGAATCTCTTCGGATTCTAGCCTTTAGCGCCTTCACGACGGGTGTGGTCCTTGGAGGTTTTGGAAAAATTCTTTTTCGACTGTACTTAGTCGACTTGGTCCCCATGCACGTTTTTTTAACTCGTTTGACTAAATTAAAGTGCACGTTCAATTCATGTCATACTTTTCAAATTCGCTATTTCTCTTCCGATTTTTTGATGAAAAATTATCGCCACCCGCGTCCCTTTAATGTTTTCCCTGTTGATACGCTTTGCAATAATAAAAAAATCGATTATCGGTATTTATGCAAAATCGCACGAGGAATCCAATGCACTTATCAGAATTTCATTATTTCCAGCGGTTTCGGGGTAAAGAGCTACTACCAGTTACCTTGGGCATGCTATGTACAAGTTAAATACTTTATGAGCAGAGTGTTATTAAGTTGGTCATATATTTCTATCGCACAGAAGTTACACGTCGGTCACAATTTCACATACAGGTACTCATCACTCCAGCCAAAATTTAACGTACATTTGGCCAGATCGTTTTTGGAGAAACTTAAGCCAACATGATTCTTCGTTCCACACTTCCAATGATAAAATGGCAAATCAAGTTTATATCGAAATTAACAGATTGTCCAATTTCCATCAACGATAACGATAAGATAACAGTCTCACGAAAATTCCGAACTGAAAAATCCAACAACTTCGTCATATTTAGGACCACGAGATTAACTTGTTTCTCCCTCTACGCCATTTTTATCTTGATCAATGGATTAATATATCTCGGCTCTCCTAATCACTCGGTCGGCACGAAAGCCGTCACTTCATTTGGCACTTTAGTCCTCCCGTTCTGCTATTTCGCAGTTATTCTAACCTTGCACAAAAACCCGAACGATTTCATCGCCCTATTTCGAATGGGCCTCGAATATGAAAAAACCACCATTGCGACAGAGTGTGCTCGAAATATTGAAACATCTAGAATACTATTGAAGTGGATTATGCTAATCTTTGGGTGCGGATCCTCTATTCTTGCCCCGATTGGTTTTATGATGATGATCGTTTCTGACCCGAAACTTCCACCATATCTTGGATCAGTTATTCCAGCCTGGCAGTTCGATGGGGGTGGACATGCTACAGGAAGGATTTTGCTTCTGGTGAGTAAGGACATTATAGCAACCCTCGCTCATTTTCTATTTATAGATTTTATAGCGAATGCATGCAACTTTTAGCATGCAAATTTTATGCATGCATTTTTTGCATGCAAACTTTTTTTGCATGGAGTTTTGCGATGCTGGGGGCTGACCCCCCCAGGGGTTGCAGATAACCCCAGCGCAGTGACCGCGGCGCCGTGACCTTTGACCTGTCAAGCGTATTTATTATAATATGAGCGTTACATGGTGAGTATGTATGTCAAGATGAAAAAACCACACATTGATATTTAACTACAATGATGAAATGTGCATAATAATGGGTGTTAAGTTTCACAGTTTAATAGCTTAATTAAATGTACATGGCTTGCAGAAGCTGGCCAACTTCATTTGACATTCCAAGCGAATTACGTCCAGTTTTATTCTAAAGAAATTTACTTTAAGATATTTATTATTCCACATACAATGAATTGATTATTGCTTAGTTTTATTGATACACACAAAGTGACAATGAATTTGCTTATATTAATTTGTGTTGTGCTGCAGACCGTAAATTCGTATACGGAATGTTATCGTCATGATAGTTGTGTGCAATGCATTCAAATTGTGGGTTGCGTTTACGGAGTAACAAGTTCAAGTGCTCGGAAATGTTTTCATCGTGACGAGATTCCGGTTGGAATTTTGGCAACCTTTCGAAATCCGACTGCATGTAAAAGAATTTACAGGTTTGGTACGTTCATTTTCATGTTTTCACTTTATACTGAGAACAAAGTGTTTCTTTACTGAATAAATAAGTTGTTTTTTAATTTTTAGCAACCACCCAGACGAGTGCATTTGATTACCATTCTAAAAGTGGAAGCAATATCATTGTTAAAGAAGAGATAATGCACAATGTTTTAACAGGTATGCACTGCCATTTTTCGCAATTTATTCCATTATTTTAACATTTTGACATTTTTAGAGCGGGTTTCAACCTCCACCACAACTGAAAATCAATTGTATACTTCAACATTACCTACTTTCACGACTTTGCCAACGACCAAAATAGTGACGACCAATTTTTATTTGCCGGAAACCTTACATCCCACACAACCAAGTGTTGATCACGAGCAAGACAATTCAGAGACCACAACGGAGACAATAATAAACACTGCTGTCGCCGGTATTGTACACATTTTTTTTGTTACGTAATCTCGGTTTTTCATTCATAAATAAAACCATCACAGAAAAACTGGCAATCGAGACTACAATCCTACCAATGGTGGAATCAACTACGCATTTCTCTGAGCTAATTCATCGGCCCACTGATCCATTCCTGTTGCTGAATACGAGCATCACAATTGGGGGTATGCACACCATAGTTAAAAAAATAGCACGTAAAGTTTATTAAAATTTTATTTATAGAAACCAATAATACTGCGAATTGGAATAATGGTTCCAACCATAGTGGAAGTTTCAACTCTTCCGTCCCGACAACTACCAATTTAACGATTTCGGTATTTATTAGTGTTTATATGCAACCAATCCCAATACCGTCTAAAGCCACGAGAACAAATTCGTATGCAATTCTTATTGTGTCACTTCTTAGACTTTTCCAGTTGTAGCAGCAAGAAAACGGAAAATGTGGAGCACCTATGACACAATTGGATTATATGCATGCAGAATTACTAAATTACTTAAGAAGAATAATTTCTTTCATGATCGAGATCTTTCTACTATTAATAATATCATATCGAGGAAATTTGATTATGTATTATGTGATTCGTTACTCAGCGGAAAGCCAATATTTTATGCCAAAAACATTTAAATATATGCAACAAGTTAATTAAGCAAATGCATTTGCAGAGTGTTGGATTTAGAGGAAGTTCTAGCAATAAATAATTATGATAATTTTATTACAATAAATGCATGACATTTTTTCGATTTATTTTTTTATTTGCTCATTTCCATCAAATCATTTGTTTTTATTTTCAATCATCAACTTAAAATGATTATAAATCACTACTAAAATCACTACTAAATTCTACATGTATATATGAACTCTACAAATGACTCATTTCGATAAAATCACTACTAAATTACTACTTTTTTTAATTTTTCGTTCGTTTACTGGCGGGGGCGTTTGTGGGGGGGGATGCTTGGACTGCTGCTTGGACTGCGGCTTCCTGTGCCTCCTTTATTGCTTCAGACACAACTGACGAGGTCAGAGGCTGAACCGTCAGTATCTCATTCGGAGCTGAAGACAGTTGTTTTACACACGTTGTAAGGAAGAGAGTATCCTAAAAAAAACAAGCATGCTTTGCAACAAAATCGTAATTATAAGTACGAAAAAAAATTGGAAACACTTACCTTTGATGCGTCATGTAGCCTATTAACCAGGCCCATAGCATTGAGATGTTGTAATTTTTTAAATATATTCAAATTTGTCCTAAATTTGAGTTCCTAAACTCAAATTTAGGACAAATTTGAATATATTTAAAAAATTACAACATCTCAATGCTATGGGCCTGGTTAATAGGCTACATGACGCATCAAAGGTAAGTGTTTCCAATTTTTTTTCGTACTTATAATTACGATTTTGTTGCAAAGCATGCTTGTTTTTTTTAGGATACTCTCTTCCTTACAACGTGTGTAAAACAACTGTCTTCAGCTCCGAATGAGATACTGACGGTTCAGCCTCTGACCTCGTCAGTTGTGTCTGAAGCAATAAAGGAGGCACAGGAAGCCGCAGTCCAAGCAGCAGTCCAAGCATCCCCCCCCCACAAACGCCCCCGCCAGTAAACGAACGAAAAATTAAAAAAAGTAGTAATTTAGTAGTGATTTTATCGAAATGAGTCATTTGTAGAGTTCATATATACATGTAGAATTTAGTAGTGATTTTAGTAGTGATTTATAATCATTTTAAGTTGATGATTGAAAATAAAAACAAATGATTTGATGGAAATGAGCAAATAAAAAAATAAATCGAAAAAATGTCATGCATTTATTGTAATAAAATTATCATAATTATTTATTGCTAGAACTTCCTCTAAATCCAACACTCTGCAAATGCATTTGCTTAATTAACTTGTTGCATATATTTAAATGTTTTTGGCATAAAATATTGGCTTTCCGCTGAGTAACGAATCACATAATACATAATCAAATTTCCTCGATATGATATTATTAATAGTAGAAAGATCTCGATCATGAAAGAAATTATTCTTCTTAAGTAATTTAGTAATTCTGCATGCATATAATCCAATTGTGTCATAGGTGCTCCACATTTTCCGTTTTCTTGCTGCTACAACTGGAAAAGTCTAAGAAGTGACACAATAAGAATTGCATACGAATTTGTTCTCGTGGCTTTAGACGGTATTGGGATTGGTTGCATATAAACACTAATAAATACCGAAATCGTTAAATTGGTAGTTGTCGGGACGGAAGAGTTGAAACTTCCACTATGGTTGGAACCATTATTCCAATTCGCAGTATTATTGGTTTCTATAAATAAAATTTTAATAAACTTTACGTGCTATTTTTTTAACTATGGTGTGCATACCCCCAATTGTGATGCTCGTATTCAGCAACAGGAATGGATCAGTGGGCCGATGAATTAGCTCAGAGAAATGCGTAGTTGATTCCACCATTGGTAGGATTGTAGTCTCGATTGCCAGTTTTTCTGTGATGGTTTTATTTATGAATGAAAAACCGAGATTACGTAACAAAAAAAATGTGTACAATACCGGCGACAGCAGTGTTTATTATTGTCTCCGTTGTGGTCTCTGAATTGTCTTGCTCGTGATCAACACTTGGTTGTGTGGGATGTAAGGTTTCCGGCAAATAAAAATTGGTCGTCACTATTTTGGTCGTTGGCAAAGTCGTGAAAGTAGGTAATGTTGAAGTATACAATTGATTTTCAGTTGTGGTGGAGGTTGAAACCCGCTCTAAAAATGTCAAAATGTTAAAATAATGGAATAAATTGCGAAAAATGGCAGTGCATACCTGTTAAAACATTGTGCATTATCTCTTCTTTAACAATGATATTGCTTCCACTTTTAGAATGGTAATCAAATGCACTCGTCTGGGTGGTTGCTAAAAATTAAAAAACAACTTATTTATTCAGTAAAGAAACACTTTGTTCTCAGTATAAAGTGAAAACATGAAAATGAACGTACCAAACCTGTAAATTCTTTTACATGCAGTCGGATTTCGAAAGGTTGCCAAAATTCCAACCGGAATCTCGTCACGATGAAAACATTTCCGAGCACTTGAACTTGTTACTCCGTAAACGCAACCCACAATTTGAATGCATTGCACACAACTATCATGACGATAACATTCCGTATACGAATTTACGGTCTGCAGCACAACACAAATTAATATAAGCAAATTCATTGTCACTTTGTGTGTATCAATAAAACTAAGCAATAATCAATTCATTGTATGTGGAATAATAAATATCTTAAAGTAAATTTCTTTAGAATAAAACTGGACGTAATTCGCTTGGAATGTCAAATGAAGTTGGCCAGCTTCTGCAAGCCATGTACATTTAATTAAGCTATTAAACTGTGAAACTTAACACCCATTATTATGCACATTTCATCATTGTAGTTAAATATCAATGTGTGGTTTTTTCATCTTGACATACATACTCACCATGTAACGCTCATATTATAATAAATACGCTTGACAGGTCAAAGGTCACGGCGCCGCGGTCACTGCGCTGGGGTTATCTGCAACCCCTGGGGGGGTCAGCCCCCAGCATCGCAAAACTCCATGCAAAAAAAGTTTGCATGCAAAAAATGCATGCATAAAATTTGCATGCTAAAAGTTGCATGCATTCGCTATAAAATCTATAAATAGAAAATGAGCGAGGGTTGCTATAATGTCCTTACTCTGGTGCATTTTTTTATTGTTCTATTTCAGGGCGAGTTTTATTTCCTCCTGTGCAGCAACTGGATTTTGGAAATTTCAAACATTTTCATACTATCAGTGTTTGGTTTGATAATTACAATAAAGTCTATAATGCGGTGAGTTTTATGGGGTTAAGTAAATATAAACCAATTATAAAGACCTCACTACCAACAAACAATTAGCCTAAATGTGAGTTGAACAATTTTTATTCTTTGAACTATTTAGACGCTGTCATCAGAATAGCGAGCTTTACTTGGGATATAAGAAACTGTTCATGGAGTGGCAACACATCAAAATTTTGGAGGCTCAAATCAGCCACTGTTTTCGAGCAGTGTTTCTTCCCTCTTGCTTTGCTATGTTTGGATTGACCAATATCATCTCTACTTTTGTATCCTAATCAAACGGTTCGTGCAAGGTGGACAGACTGGGTGGTGTGGTATTTATAGTTCTAAGTGTCGAAAGTTTCTTTGGTAATTTCGCTTTTGCCCTACTCGCGGGAGTTGTTAATGAAACATCGATGAAATTGTGCGGTAGGCTGAGGCGTGTCCAACTAGGGGGTATGGTAGAGAACAAGCAGTTTCATAAAAGGCTAGCAGCCTGTGGGGTACTTAAGATCAGGTTTGGAGACAATTTTGTCACTATTTTAACACCACTCGTCACGCTTGGTGTTTGCGTCAAGTGGACGATCAAGTTGTTGCTTACAATGAAATGACTCTGACATGTACATACTTGCAATAACTGTACCCTCATGGGCCCGAAGTGGCCTCCGTAGGGAAGGAATAAAAATCTTATCTTAAATAACTCTTACATCGGCCAGCTGATCCGGATGCCTTAAACAATTTACCCGAGCTCGGGTATATGTATTTTTCACAAAATGGCGAGATCATGTTCCTCAAAGAAGATCCGATTTGCAAACAACTTCATGGCAATGTCAACACCTTTGTTGATTACAAGCTTTTGTGCGGACAAAACAAATACAAATATTCGTCTCATGATGAATTAAAATGAATGACTTTATGCTAGGTCCTTGAATTTATTGTTGATTGAAGTAGAATAAATTCAACCCGATGTGTTTTAAATTCGGTGCGTAATAAGTGCGTAATACAAATATTATGTATGAATATAAGTCATTTATTTAAAACGCGGAGGGGGCTAATGGCCCGTAGAGTTATGTACATTGTATAATATAATAAAGTAATTAGTTCCAAATCGATTAGTGATAAATCTATAATTACCCTAAAATTTTGTGCACTGACCTAAATAATTTTGTGTAATAATCCAAATGATTTTGTGCAATAACCTATAATTTGGAATAATAACCTAAAATAATTTGTACCCAATCGCAACTACCTATAATCTATCATCTGTATTTACAAATATTATGTCAATATGTATAGAGATAGAGTTTAGGTTGATTTCTAGTTAAACAGTTATTGAAGAAGTGTAGCTTGTCGATAATCCTTTGCAGGTAAGCATACGTGAAAGTTTATTTTTCATTTTGACATTGCTTTAGTAAATATATAGGTATGTTGATATGTATACATATGTATATGCAAGCAAGTGCTTGTAAATTGGATTAGCGATTAAGCATAAATTACTCGCTTGAAAAGTAGGAAATTCATTTATCTATGTACGTATTGACGAACTTCACACACATATGACCTATTTATTAAATGAAATTAGAGATAGAGTGTAACAATTGTTAGAAAATTTCCTGCAAACCGATAAATGATTTATCGGTTGCAAATTTATCGGGGCTTGTCTTTGCGCGTTTGTCGTTTACACATTCGTCTTTGCACATCTGTCGGACGACCAACAGTTTTATTATACATTAAGCACACATGAACATAGATATAATATCTAAGATATTTACACATGTTTTGCAATATCAACTTCCCTAAAAATAAGAAATTGAATTGTGTCTTAATTAGCTTCCTGAGCCAAAATGTAGAATTAGGAATATGTACATATAATTATGGAGGATTGCCGTAGAAATAATTATTAAAGCATAGATGTTTGCACACGTGGAAATTAGAGCAACACTCTCTTAAAAATAAAGTTATTTTTTGAAAAGTAAATGCAATCTGAATTATATATTCAGAAAATTAAGAGTAAAGTTTACTCTTTATCAAGTTAACATTGCACTGGATCGATCTAATGTACTTTACCTACAAAATATCGAATTTTGACAGCATTTACATTTCAAAATGAGTCCATTATTTTTAAGACTAACAAGGAATCATAACCTAGAATTTTGACAAGTTATGAAAGGAATCCTTTCCACCGTTAGTCGAATTTGTACACCACTCCACTCAAGTCAAAATAATTGCCTTCAAAAAATTGGACCATGTTGTTCAAGTTTGGCCTCGATTTATTAAACCTGCATCTCAACTATCTTCAAATAATATTGAGAATTGACCTCTTAAAATTTAACTGCAAACGGAGAAAATTTGTAAAATCTGGTGCATTCTCCACCCAGAAATTTAGTATCGTTGGATTGACAGGATTTGTAACTGTAGCTAACTGGATGTACATTCTAATATTCGTACCACTGTGCAAAGTTGAGACAATGTTCGTGGCAGTGCTTACGGTTGGGTTTGTCCTTGGATTGATTGTATTGGCACACTCTCCGAAAAATGTTTACCGGAATCATTACCCCGTGTAGTCTATATATGACTCTACTGCTGTGGTAATGGGTTAGTTACCGCGCGGTATTTAACAGAAAGATTACCATCCCGGCATTAACGTATTACTCCACAATAATATCATAAATATCATGCAATATGAACCTGCAACTGCACGCAGTAATGAAGTAATATTAGCCAGTAATGATATTATGATAAATGTATAAAGATGCTTATTACTGGGTGGTAAATAATCAACACCGCACCATAATCATATTATTATCGTTTGCTTATCGATATTTATTATTATGGTAATAAATGTTTCACTATTTCGGTAATTATTTTGATTATTTATTGTAATAATTCGCAATAATTAAACTACACAACTTAATTAAATACAAAAACCAATCAAGTTATATATAGCCTAAATTACAAATACATATATTTTTACAAGTAATGCCTTAAAACTAAATGAAAAGCATCGGTATTACAATTTTTTTGAAACTCAAAACATTCATGAACAATTAAATTAGATATATCCACAACTTCAAACAAATCATTTGTACGTGTAACAATATAGGAAAAATAGTGTCTGTCAAAGAAGTCTACATTTAGCTTTTTCAAAAATAACAGGCATCTGGTTTCATCAATTAATATTAGGTCCTGAATTACACCAAAATTTGGAAAAATATTTCCCATTCCATAGCAAACAACATAATCAATTTTGTATTTATAATTACGATACCAGACCTTATTTGCTGTATAAACTTTTGTATTTCCGTCACATTCTTTAAATATGTCAAACTGTCTTAATTTCTCGATTAAATCAAAAGACTCAGCAAATTCATACAAATTAGATACTACTATATTATCTGCCCTAACCCCCTCATTAATTTCAATAGTTTTTAACAAATGAGAACTATACTGTTGATGCCTTTTAGCCAACGATGAACAAATATTACGAAAATTTCTTATTTGTCCTGCTAATTGAGAAAAATAATTATGTTTCCCCTCATACCGCATGGCCCACATTGATACTAATGGCCCACTTTGCCTAATGACAAAAGAATAGTGACACATTAAATGGTGCTTGGGGATAAGTTTTTGATCTGGGAACAACTTACGAAATAGATTATGATGGCTAACTATTTTTGCATCTAATAATAACAAAGTAGATTCTGAAAATTTCCGACAAAATACATAGCTCAAAATCTCCAAAAGTTGCAATAAAATTTCCCAATATTTTTTTTGCTCATTACTAATAACTAAATCCCCAATAATCACTGGTAAATACCGAATCAGACACCAGGCTTGAGAAGCTTTTTGTCCAATTTTGTTTCCCGATCCTTCTAGTCGTATTGGACTTGGGCGATTCTTTGATTCTAAATAGCCAAAATTATGGGCCTGAATTCTTTGATTAATTAAATCTAAATCAAAGCACTTTAAAGATATTAATTTTTGTAAAACTAGTTTGATTTCGTACGGAACGACACCTTCCAGTAAATCGTGCATAATGTCAACAGACGGACTATCTAAAAAATTAAAATAATTAAGTTGATTTAAAATACATTCAGTTTGAACACCAAAAGATTTGTCACTTAAATGATTGGCATAATTACTTTTGTCCCTGACTATCATTTTGCTATGCTCAAATATTTCTTGTGCTTCACTTTTAGATGTACAGCATATTCGACAAAAATAATGGGAATTAAACGACTCATTAAATCCTAGCAAACTATTTCCACCTAAGTTGTCAAACGCAAGAGAACACAAAGTACCAAAAATTCTATCAGATCCATTTACCGATATGCCCACTTTCTCAAGATACAGGAAATCTGGAATTATTAATTTCAGAATTGAATTAATACCATACTTTTTGGCATCCTCCGAATAAAACAAGGCTAATAAATGTATTGAGCTAAGTTGGGAATTAATATAATCTGGAAGATTTTTAATAGTAAAGTAAAACGCTCCCAATTTGTGAATTCCTCGTTTTGAGCCAAGGGGATTGACTGTTTCAAAATCATCATAGAAAAGTTGAATTTGAATAGAATTCGGGTTCCTTGAAAAAAGACAATTAGTTTTAAATGCAACTGTATCTTTAAATGACTCGATTGAATTGGAATTTGAAGGTACAACTTTTGAAAAACACTGATAAATATCTGGAGATGAAACAAGTTTTTCTAAACTCTTGAGAATTGGTACATACATAAATGTATCTGATACAATAACTTCTTGACGTTTGTTATCTCTCACCCTTTGCTCCAGCCTACTTCCTAACGAATATTCTTTTGGCATAATTATTTGGCTATATTTTTCTAACGCTTTCTGTCGTTTGTAAATAGAATTTACGTGACTGAACGCTTCTATTAAAGATAGCGACTGGCAACTAAAGTCCTCAAAATTTTCTTTGCAAAATTTGTTGCTTATCCTTAAAATTAATTTTGAAATTTGAAGAAACGAATTTTCAAACTCTTTAACAACAAAGTCCACAGTTGAATTGGTAACACCTGAGGCTAACAATGACGAGCAGAATGAAATTAAAATATCTTTCATTACGTTAATTCCTAAATTGGTAGTAATATCTGCTTGTTCATTAAATTCAGTTAAATTGGGATCATTACCTACGTCATCTAAGACTGGATCTACTAAATTAAGTGAGGGAGTTAAATTTTCCTCAAAATTCTTATCATAATTTTCAGAATCTAAAACAATTTCGTGGGACTTAAAATGCCTCAACAATCCACTCCATGTACATATTTGTGTGCTACAAGACTGTTTAGGACATATTGTAGCTGGAAAATTTGCCTCACCGTAATTATGAATGCACCTAAAATGTACTATAATCTCTCTAAATTTACAAAATACTTTTCCACATGGACCACAAGTATACATTTTAATTTGTCGAGGAATTTGACGTTTGAAGATAAGTAGAAATTTGCTGGAACACTTGTTTCACTTTTCTTGATAGCTGAGTAGTTGTTTCAAGTTGAAAAATGTGTACTTGAATAAACTTCCAAATTCCGGTCAAATTTTTGTCGTATTCTGTTCCAATTACGTAATGAGCCTTAAATAGGGAATCGATTGCCTCGGTTGAAGTTCTTGCGTTGATTGGGAGGAGGATTCGATCACAAATTATGTAGAAGGACGTCAAATTGGAGTGGTCCTCGCCTAGTACAATGAGCGCTGGTTGGGAAGTCTCAAAATTCCAAGTGTCCACAATTGATTTCAAGGGCGTTTCAGCCTATTTAAACACATATTTATTAAAACTGTCCCATATCGTTTAGCTGACCCTCTTAAATTATTCCCGCGCTTACCCGGTAAAAAGTAACCAACTTTAACTTTGCGTCGTCAATTTTACAGCGTCCCCCTTTCCCTCTCCCTTGAGCGCTTGGAGGAATAAGGTGTAACAGAACAAATAGAGCTGCTATTGATTTGTCCCAATTATCTGTGACAACAAAACAGTGGTTAGCAATTTATTTACGAAATTTATGATTATTAGATTTACGGAAACACTTACCATAATTATTGTTTGCGAATTTCAATAGGGCTGGCGAATTACTTAAAGTTTTGCAGTGCGCAATCAATCGGTCAGCAAATTCCGGCCACGTGTTTAGAAAGTTTTGTTCAAGGTCAGGAAACATTAGCGAAAACTCAAAATTAACCTGAACAGAAGTATTAATTGTATATTTATGACATGCGTAATTATTAAAATTAAGTTAATAATTCAAACCAAGTAGGAACATTCCGCAAATTTTGAGTACACACGTAGCACTGATTGATCGTTTGACCGTCTTATCTGGTTTCTGTGTTCAAAAGTTTCCTTCATGAGTGATACAATTTCACCTTTTTTAGTGCTTGAATTTAGGGCCGCCGTTAATTCCAAGTTGGGGAAAACCTCCTCTGCGCCTTTCGCTATTTTTGGCTTTGGGCCACCTTGACTTTCTTCTTTTTTCCGACGCCTCGTATCAACTTCCGGTTTCCTAATGTTTCTGTGAATCCACTTGAGTCGTTGTTGAATTAGGCCAGACCGGTTAATTTCATCATAAAGAATATCCTGCAATTTACACAAGACACTTTTAGAATAATTTTTTTAGTAATTATTGTTACGAAAATTTATTTGCAATAGTAATTTACAATTCCGTCTGGCGTTCCCGGATATTTCCAGAAAGGCAGAATTTCAACAATCGCCTTTGCAAAAGATATCTGGTCTCGAGTGCATGGTGAGTTACTACATAACAGAAAATATTATTTACAAACAGCAAGGAACTTATTTAAAAATAATTACCCTTTTAAGTCTACCAATTTCGACACAAACTCGTTAACAATTATTGCCGCCGCTGAGTTATCGACGAGGGACTTCTCTCTGCACTCCAAGATTAGATTCGCCAAACGCGGCGTCTTCTCGACATATTCCTCTAATATCTAATATCGAAAAAAATCAAAAATTGTAGTTACTATGTACTTGTTAGAATATATTGAGCTGATGAACTGTTTACCTGCTTAAATACATCAACGTCACCAAGTCCTAATGATGGCGAAACTGGTGATGGCGCCGGTGAACACAATGGACTTGGCACTACAAAATTATTAATTATTATTAATTATCAGGTCATATATTAATTCCTGGAGGTATTACTTATCTATGTAGTACTTACAATAATAAATTTGAGGACTGGAACCGGCGTCCTGAATTGCGCTTACTGTAAAGTCCTCGCCTTGAATTCGAAATGTAATATTCGGTTTTTCTTCCTCCCATAAAATTGGAAACACATCCGCATCAATCTCGGCACCTTGGTCGTCTTCGATAAGTATCTGGATGTCGTCAGCAAGCTCAAACTTTATTCTAACTGTAAAATAAAGTTGCTAAATTAATAACTTAATTGAGATAATCTGCATTGAATTAATTAAATCAACAAAATCTTATCAATTTTTTCACTTGCGAATTATATTTATCTAATTAATCATGCTGACTTACCTTTTGTTAGAAATTCCTCGTAGTTATTGGAGCTCACTATTGCTTTCTTTTGATGTAAAGAATTCGAAACACGAATTAATTTATCTTTTTTGTCGCCCATTTTGTCCTCCTCGTGGTGTTTGTCGTGTGAGAGTGCGCAACTTCTTTCATTACTTGAATTGTGAAAAATAAATACCAGTGCGGTAGAATGGCAATACCGCATAAAGATTCAAATACATTACCCGGAAAATAAAGTGTTCATTATGGGGCAGTACTATACAGTTTTCTTTTTTCGTAATGAATACATACCGCTTGGTATTTTTAGCTTACCGATTTTAATCTTAGCGAATTTATCAACCCGTAGTGAACCAAAAACTTTATTAATAATAAAATTCGGTAAACAAATAATTACCGTTTTTGGTATAATTCACAATTACCAACCCGACAGTAATGATGGTCATTAAAACATCATTACCACACTTCGGAGAGTGCATCGCTGCTACTTTATCTGGACGACTTCAAATTCTTGCCAAACATGGTACTACGGATGGATGATACGTTTGGAAAACTTTTCCCGGGTAACTAAATTAATGATTTAATGCATACAATTCGGAAGATCGGATGTGAAGACACTTTAGGCAGGTTTCCCTGTAGCATAATCACGTTTTTAACCAGGTTTTTTCATGTTCAATGTTTATAAAACCTCTATATGTGAATAGGCATCCTCACAGAGTTGGATATTTGGGTAGACGGATTTATTAATAACCAGGCCAAATTAGGAAAAATATATATGGGTAAATATGCCTGGATAATACAAAAGGGCGTCAAAATTTGGAAAATTTAATAGGAATTAAGATCAAAATTTCGAAGTTCAAAATGATTCAAAATTAATGAATAGTTTTTAAAAACCAATACTTTTTAATAAGTTAACAGTAAAAATTCTCCTTTGAAAGTTGAGCCTGGTGCAGATAAATTCTGTCTCAATGGCCCTAAAACTGCCTGTATATTTACTCTTCTTCTATCAAATCCGAGAGATTCAGTGGGTTGCCAAAAGTATTGGTGGTCAATTTTGTGGTCGGTACCTTGTACGATATTTTTGCCAAGGGAACGTCATGGGCTAATTCTTCAGGCATTTTTTTAGGTGAAACAAATGGGCTACAAAATACTTCAAACAAGAATTTGAAAATCTTACCCCGTTCGGGGGAAATTGAGAAAAAAGTTTAAAAACGGTATAAAAAATGTTGGCAAAAGTATTGGTGGTGATTTATTTTTTATATCTACAGGGCTCACACATCTGAATTACTGGTTGTAACGTTAGTACAATACTCTTCCATGCTCATTGCACTTAATCTTTATTAAATATGGCCAAAATAGGCGACTTGTACATCGCTGGGAAAAATTTATCAAAAGCACGCACGACATAGGGGTTGCATTAAGTTATTAGTGACGCCTGAGACCTTTTGAATACGGCTGTCATTACCCTAAGTGATCATTTTTCTGCCTTGGTGTTGTGTGGGGGCATTTGTTCAGTCTTATTTTGTCATGTTCATCAAGGAACAAGTTGACTTGAACTTCTTGATGATATTCTGAATTATTCAGAGCTTCAATGAGGTCAGAAGAAGAAGATTTTGGGGTCCAACCCTTATGCCGTGCGTGCTTTTGATAAATTTTTCCCAGCGATGTACAAGTCGCCTATTTTGGCCATATTTAATAAAGATTAAGTGCAATGAGCATGGAACAGTATTGTACTAACGTTACAAACAGTAATTCAGATGTGTGAGCCCTGTAGATATAAAAAATAAACCGTAGTAACGTTAGAAGTAGCTCACCCTGTCATAATGATTTAAGCAACTCTGCACTGAAGGTGCGGAATAAGCCAACAAAATAGATCACAACTCTTATATATTCATTATATATATGCCGTTCATGGTGCAATGGAAACGCCAGGCCATTGCACCATTAGTGCAGCATTAGCGACCATCCGGGATACATAATTTTGAAAACTTTGTCAAAATTGTATGATCATTTCTCCCGGATATTCTGCACTATTGGTGCGGTTTGCATCCCATCCCCCAATTATTTCGCATCATTTTGTGTTACCGATTATTAGATATCAACTGTGCTATTTAGAGAGCAGAGACAAAGTATCTGGACACTAGGTAATTCGGCCTCAAAATGGTCAAAAATGATTTTTGAAATCTCAAATTTTTGTAAAATATTGTAAACATTACTGACGTTAGGGATCCGCGAAGAAACGAGACCTTAATACATTACCCACTTCGTATTTAGTCTTTTTCGTCGCGCCCGCCATTAATGCTTTTTCGGAAGACTTTGCAACTTCATTGTTAATTTTTTCCCTCCGTAACCAAAATTTTCTTTAAGTTTCGACTGTTTCACAAAGCTGGGTGTATGTCTTGTTACATATGGCCTAATTTTTTTTATTGTGCTATAATCAGTGTTGAATGTGAGGTTTTCATTTTTCAACGTCAAACTGATTTTTTTTCGATTTCTTCCTTGATAGTTGTTGCATTGTGGATTGGTCCAATGTCGGACCAAAAAATTACATTTTATATTTTATTGTGCTCAATTATGAAAGGAATCCGACGGACTATCACATTTTTCTGAAAATACACCTGTGCGTTCTCACAGCCCTTTTGAACGGAAGGGTCGAAAACATGCCTAAATTGACCTAACGCCATCCAAACCTTAGATTTCTAGAGAAATTTCGAAAAACATATAAATTTCTCTTCGGTTTTCAGTTGAGAGATATATTTCCCATGAAAAATTCCCTTCCCGGAATTTCTGTCACGTTTTTGAAGACGTAGGACTCATCGCCAACGACCAACAGTTTTGGTGAAATTTTGTTTAAGTGCTTGGGATGGCTTGCGTTCACCATTTTTTCTTGACCTTCCGTATGCTTTTCTGCAGATTTATTTGAATAAGCTTTGACCCACAACTTATGAGCGTTCATATGATGCGCATAGTTTGGATTAATCTTCAACTTTATGGCCGCATCAGACACAAACGTGGAGCGGTATTTTCCAAAAATAAGTTTAATCGTTTTTCATTTTCAAGAGGTCAGTATGATGGTTTTTCTTGTGTTGCGTATTTGAAGTTGATATTTTCGGATTCATCATACTTTTTTATGTATGTCTTAATTTTTGCACAGCCACAACCTCATCGGTTGAAATGTAGTCAAGTCTTCTTCGAGTGTAACCCAAATTTTGGTACTTACAAAAAAATCGTTTCTCGACTTCCTCGCTTTGAACTTATGTAGGAAATTTATTGTTCATGGAAAACCTATGAAATTTTTGTGATGTGTGGTTGGATATATTTAGCATATTCTATAAAAATTTCAGATTCCTACGACCATTTTTTACCGCTTTCCTATTAAAACTACCAAGTGTCCAGATACTTTTTCTCTACTCTCTATTTACCAAAAAAATTCGATTCGGTTTGTTCAATACTAATGGTGCGCGTAACGTATTCATTAAGTGTCAAGGGGATTTTTAATTAGCATTAATTGATGCAAAAAACTCGTTAACAGACAGACAGACAGACGGACGGACAAGAGGAATTCAATAGCTCCCGAGCTACGCAGGGTGAGCTAATAAATCACCACCAATACTTCTGTCAACATTCTTTATACCGTTTTTAAAGTTTTTTCTCAATTTCCCCCGAACGGGGTAAAATTTTCAAATTCTGTTTGAAGTATTTTGTAGCCCATTTGTTTCACCTAAAAAAATGCCTGAAGAATTAACCCATGACGTTCCCTTGGCAAAAATATCGTACAAGGTACCGACCACAAAATTGACCACCAATACTTTTGGCAACCCACTGTATTATGCTCCAAAAAGCTTGTGCAAGTCACTAAAAGTAATGTCTCATGTTTTGCAGATATCCTAACCGTAAATCAATCCTTGGGCTTCGATTCTGTTTCGGATCAACTATACTTATTGGCGTTGGTGGCCCGTTTTTGGTTTTACTACTCACTCTTTATGACCCGAAGATGCATCCATTCCTGGGATCTGTGGTCGTCAGACAGTCTTCATGGAATTTGTCGTTTTGTAAATATATTTTGCACCCAGTTGTCTTTTTCACTCAGCACTGGACGAACTTTGTGCTCGGATCGCTGATTTTATTCATCTTTGGAAACATATTCATGGGCACGGTCCTATGTGTCGTGATCTATTTGCAATGTTTATCTTGGTAAGACATTCACCTAATTTTTGAGGAATTTGAAATGAGGATTCTAAATTTTCCGATTGTTGCGTTTACTCGGCGATTAAATTTACGGAAAAACTATCGTACCTTTAATTTGAGACAAATGAGGTCTTACAAATTTATCCTAACAATTGTCAATTTTTATAAATTTCAGCACCACTACTGGCTCCGAATCTCTGGAAAAAATGCGTGTGAAAGTTCACCTATACAAACAATTGCAAATCCTCCTTGCTCAAATCAACCAATGCTACCGACCCCTCTTACTGCCAACAATCTTATGTTTCGTCGTGTCGGGGAGTGTGTTCGGGTCGAGTTTGACATTTACTTTGAAATCCAGTCTTTTCGCCCACCCGGCCAACTTTTTCTATCCTTTCCTTGCCGCAGAATCTACCCTGGCTCTCCTTGGGATGGGAACGATAGCTGGTTGCGTTAACAAAAGGTCGATTCGCTACATAAGCAAAATCAGACGGGCCGCTTCAAAGAGTAAGAA